AAAATAGATCTACCTCGACCCTCCAAGTGCGAAATTATAGCCTCCCGAACAATCAAACGGGAAACCACCCCGCTTAGTTCCATGATTTTCCCAGCTATAAACCTCCGTGCCTGGTTCGGGGATTACCCAGCAGCCCGCCACGTTTGATGACACTGGAATTTACTCAATCAACATTAATCAACATTAATCAACATTAATCACCATTGACCAAGATTAACCCTGTTAATGAATTCACCACTGATCACCATTTAAAACCAGTAGCCACCATGAATTGCCCACAGCTAACAATGAACCATTCATTATTAACCATTTCTAACCATTCCCAACCATCTGGGCAAATCTATTTTGGGATAGTTACCCCGTCGCTGTTACCCCGTACGAAGCATGATTCCAGTGAGGTCGCTGTGAGGCCGTTATGGAACCCACTTGGGAGTTTCCATGAATAGGGATAGCTGGATGGTTTATTTCATGGAAAATTAGAACAATGGATGATTGAAAGCTACCCGCATCGCCTCAGAAACCTCCAAATGGGCTAAAGAGATTTGACCATCATGATTAACAATTCTTAACAAAATCTTAACCATGTAGTTCCACCAAGAAACAAAAGTTAAGAATTGTTACATCTGGAAATAACCATTATTAACCATCATGAACCATCATTAACCATTATTGACCATTATTAACAACTATTAACCATTATTGACCATTATTAACCACTATTCACAATTATTATCATTATTAACCATTTTTGACCGTTATTGACCATTATTGACCATTATTGACCATTATTAACTATTATTAATCACTATTAACCATTATTAACCACTATTAACAATTATTAACCATTATTGACCACTATTAACCATTTTTGACCATTATTAACAATTATTAACAATTATTAATCACTATTAACCATTATTAACAACTATTAACCATTATTGACCATTATTAACCACTATTAACCATTATTATCATTATTAACCATTATTGACCATTATTGACCATTATTGACCATTATTAACCATTATTAGCTATTATTAACCATTATTAACAATTATTAACCATTATTAACCATTATTAACCACTATTAACAATTATTAAAAATTATTAATCACTATGAACCATTATTGACCATTATGAAACATTATTAACACTTATTGACCATTATTAACCATGACTAACCATTATTAACAATTATGAACCATTATTAACAATTATTAACCATGTTTAACCACTATTAACCATTTTTGACCATTATTAACAATTATTAACAATTATTAATCACTATTAACCATTATTAACAATTATTAACCACTATTAACAATTATTAACTATTATTAATCATTATTAACCATTATTAACCATTATTAACCACTATTAACAGTTATTAATCATTATTAACAATAATTGACCACTATTAACCACTATTAACAATTATTAACAATTATTAATCACTATTAACCATTATTAACCATTATTAATCATTATTGACCATTATTAACCATTATAAAACACTATTAACAATTATTAACCATTATTAACCATTATTAATCATTATTGACCATTATTGACCACTATTAACCATTATTAACCACTATTAACAATTATTAACTATTATTAATCATTATTAATCACTATTAACCATTATTAACAATTATTAACCACTATTAACAATTATTAATCATTATTGACCATTATTAACCATTATAAAACACTATTAACAATTATTAACCATTATTAACCATTATTAACCATTATTAACCATTATTAACCACTATTAACAATTATTAAAAATTATTAATCATTATTAACCATTCTTAACCATTATTAACCACTATTAACAGTTATTAATCATTATTGACCATTATTGACCACTATTAACCACTATTAACAATTATTAACAATTATTAATCACTATTAACCATTATTAACCATTATTAACCACTATTAACCATTATTAACCATTATTAACCATTATTAACCACTATTAACAATTATTAAAAATTATTAATCATTATTAACCATTCTTAACCATTTTTAACCACTATTAACAGTTATTAATCATTATTGACCATTATTGACCACTATTAACCACTATTAACAATTATTAACAATTATTAATCACTATTAACCATTATTAACCATTATTAACCACTATTAACCATTATTAACCATTATTAACCATTATTAACCACTATTAACAATTATTAAAAATTATTAATCATTATTAACCATTCTTAACCATTTTTAACCACTATTAACAGTTATTAATCATTATTGACCATTATTGACCACTATTAACCACTATTAACAATTATTAACAATTATTAATCACTATTAACCATTATTAACCATTATTAACCACTATTAACAATTATTAACAATTATTAACCATTATTAACCATTATTAACCATTATTAATCGTTAAACATGATGGCTGTTCAATCTGGAAGCCATGACCTTCGGCATGCTAAAAATCTAAACGCTCCGTCCAAGCGACCCATCGAGGCCAGAAGAAAATCGAAGGACTGGCGCAGCACGTGCACTTCGGTGGGAGACCTTGGGCTGAGAAAACATGGGGATGCGGCAATGGCGGACAAATGGAGATTTAAGTCACAACAAATGGGAATATATTTATGGCAAAGGTGGTGAAAAACTCTAGTATAACTATACCGATACCCATATGCTCCATGATGCTGGTATATTTACCTACATGACTGGGTGATTTTTAGGGCACATGTTGGTAAATATTCCATACATGGAGCATATTGATGCATATGGGATATCCAAATATGTTTGGAAAGCCAAGTGCAATACCAATATACCACATATTTAAGGAATAAAGAAGAATTTGAGAAACGCGATAGAAAATAAATAGATAGGAAAACATTACAAAAAATGAAAGAAATTATAAAACTAAAACTACTATGTTGTTCCCGCCTTGCCAAAATTGTCGACCTACAAGAATACACGGCATCTTGAAAGAACAGTACCTGGATAAATAGCCAAGGACTGTGATGGCCGTGACTCCCTTTTCTCTTGCATTTCCATATTTATGTTACATATACACTTAGACCATCCAAGTAGCCATTAAAACTAGTGAATATTCCAAAATCACTCGTGTATTAATACATTGCTCCATTTTGCTAGGTTCTTGGAGGGTTTAGGTATTTCTACTAACACGTATTCCAAATGAATTTCCTTAAAAACACGTAGGAGAACATGCCGCCCACATCCCCTCGCCCATCTTCACAACATTCCCGCAAAGTTTGCTATAGGATTTCAGGTCAAAAACAACCCGCCGGACCGGAAACCGTGCCCATAAAACGCACGTTTTTTTTTAAGGTGATTTTACCACAGTGCCGTGCTGATTTGATGATTGGAAATCCTGGAAAAACTTGGGGCGCGTTTTTTTGGCTTTTCAGCGTCATCGCTGCAACGCATGCACCGTTATCAGCTGGCAGTCAGCATTCTTGTGAATGCATCTCCATTGCCAAGCTCTAGCATACACCATCAAGAGGTCACTTTTGGCACTCAAGTTGCTGGGAATTGACTTTTTCATCAGATTCCACTTTCAGCAGCGTCGCAACATGTAACGTAGTAAACGATCCCGGAGATCTCAGCAGCGTAGCAATATTTCATGTACGAAGTACAAGGAACATTAACATGCCGCTCCGCCATCCCACCCCACCCCAGCAGCCGCGTAGCAACATGTAACGTAGTAAACGATCCCAGAGATCTCAGCAGCATGCCAATATATCATGTACGAAGTACAAGGAACGTTAACATGCCCCCCCACCCCACCCCACAATCGCGACATTCAAAAACGTGCGTTTTACGGGCACGGTTTTCGGTCCGCAGGCAAAAACAACTATATATATATATATATGTGTGTGTGTGTCTAGCCTACAGGTTTTCACAGTTTTCACCACCATGTCATGTCCAGGTTGTTGGTCAATTCCCACGGTATGATTGAAACATTGTGGAAGAAAAATCCATCTGCAGCAAGTGGCAAAGTTAGCACAACCATGGACTCACCAAAGTTCGAGGAAGCCGCAACGGATTTCACTGAGCGCGGGCAAGGGCGGTCCAGGACCGATGGGGGATGAAAAAAAATGGCGGGCTTTGATGGTGATTTTGATGGGCTTCGTAAGAATTGAAACTAGTTTTTTGTTAATGGGATTCAGTGGGTTTTATGATTTAATTATGGGATATAAGTGGACTTATGAACTACTGGGGTGAGTATCCACCGGTACTTTCAACAATGGAACATAGCCGCCTATGAAACAAGGGTGATTTTCCATATTATTACCCGAGATTAGATTTTAAAAAAATCTTACAATTGTAGTGAAAAAGAAGGTTTCCAAAGATTTGAAAGGCAGGCCATTTCAGTTACCCTAACTTCATCAGGAACCATCCATAGTTCGACACTACGTTGGAGGCCGTGGGATTTCTCAGGCTGTGCCGAAATCGGACAATGTCACGGTCTATCATGTTGTCGTTCTCCCAAAAACGATATAAAACATGGTGTTTAGAGATTGGCATACCACATTATCCACGTTTCTTATTTGAGCCTCCGTGATCAAAGATGGTTTGCTGGAAAATTCCCGATTTAGTTCGGTGTTTTGTTCCATTGAAATCTCCATGGCTAGTCGGGGACTTCACAGCGGCCTGCTATGTTTGATGACAGAATTTTGGGCAAACCACCTCCACATAGTATCTTGGACTTAAGTAACCACCAACAGCAAAAAAACACAAACTCAGAATAGTTCAGAATCATATTCCATATATTTCTATACAGATTCAGCAGTGGATATTCCAGTGGTAAACTAACAGTTCGCTGGAAAATCACAATGTTTAAATATGTTTAATGTGTAAATCAACGAACTACATGGTCATTTTCAGTAGCAAACTGTTAGTCATTACCAGAGGGTATTGATATCATTATTAACCCATCATTAGCCATTATATGATTATTCACGGGAAGATCCTGACCGGAAACCAATGGTGTTTTGACCATTTAAATATGGGTGATAAAATAAACTGGGAACATCCACAAGAAAAGCCATGGTTTTGACCATTGTTTATATGGGAAAAAAACAGATTCCGCAAGAAAAACCATTGTTTTTACCATGGAAAAACAATGGCTTCCCGTACAATGTCCATTGGCATCTCCAAAAATCCTCCGCTGCTGCCTTCAGAGTCCAAGCCCAAGGCCTTTTCAAAGTCATCCTCAGGCCTCGGTGTCAGTCTTGTTAACATCCCTCACATGGAAAAAACATATCAACCATCCATATATCTGGTTGGTGGTTGAGGCACCCCTCTGAAAAATATGAGTTCGTCAGTTGGGATTATTATTCCCAATATATGGAAAAATGGTTCCAAACCACAAACCAGTCATGGAACCCATTTCATGCCATATTGCATCCAACAAAAAAACATATTAATCATCCATATATAACCCATATTTCATCCCATATGATAAGTGGGGATATGCCATTAATCTAATTGTTGTTCTTTTTGAACTATTTACTAAGAAGGATGCACCCCCAAGTGAGAAAAACATCATGTTTTATAACTAGCGATAGATTGTCAATCTAGGATTTTCCCAGCTGTGAAGATGTTTGAAGGGAATATCTTAGGACAAAAAAACGTTTATTTGGCAGGCAAATGTTTGATGACGATCTCGGAGACTCATTGAATTTCATTGAGCTTCACATCAGTATAGGCAGTAGGTCAAACATTAAGACCCGGCCAGAAAAATTCACCACAATATAATGAGTTTGTCAAAAACAACAGCATAAACCTCGATTTCTTGAGTAACTAGATAGCTGTCGTTTAAAATCATCAAAACTCAATAGAGTCATTAGAGAAACTAGAGCAACATTTTTTCAGCCGCCTTTGCTTCCCGCGAAAAAACACAAATTAATTCAGATTCACTATTAATTAAACGTTGCTGGTTGAAATTCATTGGAATATATTGCAATGTTTCTAAGTTTCTCATGAGTAATCTAACCATATATAACAATATATATAACCATACATAACCACATATAAAACAACTATAACACCATCTATCAATGAACCATCCATGAAGATCACCTGTGCTCACCGAGGCACTGCTCCTCTGTAGGTTCCTGATCCTCGGGGATAACGTTGACGACATTCACGACCTCGCCCACATCGGACTCCATATCCAATTGCTGCATCTGTTCCGTCTCCTGCGTGGATCGAAAAACAACACTCTTTGGGGATAGAGGCCCTTCTGAACCAAGACAATGGCAATTTGGGATTTCTGACCTGGAAACTACTGATCCAGTTTCGGTGGCTGTTGTTCTGGGCCTTGCGATCTCAACAGCAAAATACTCCACGTGATGTGAAGTTTGTTTGAGGTACTTGCTGCACAATTGTACTGTATTTGGAAACGATATCAAAAAAATGACTGCTTGTGATGGGGTAGCAGCTACCAGGTAGCAACTTTATCCAACTCAAGATGCCCTTCACCAGTCTTCTTCGCCCTGGTCCCTCTGGCAATGACTTTGTTTTGGAGGGCCCTGCGCGTGGCTACCGAACTACTCTTAATCTATCTAGCTGTCTAGATGGATTTGTATAAATACAACATATACACAAAGAGGCACAAATTTATGCATTACTGTATCAAAAATAAACACGGACACATATTTACATGTACATTTATATGCGCATATATACATATATAATTATATATATATATGTATATATATGTATAAACAAAAGAAAGACGCATATAATCATATATAGAAACATGTATAATCATGAAAGATATATATATATATCTGGCATATATATATAATATATAGTATAGACTGGTATGAAACATCATATATGATCAATTAATTTCATCACATATGATATCCTTCTGGCTCCAGCCTCGGCTGCGGATCCCACTGTGCAGGGGGACCGGATCAAGGATGGTGACATTACCACGGGGGACATCATGGTGTCAGGTGCCTCAGACGACTCAAGCGATGATGAGCTGTGGAGTGATTTCTGGAGTTTATGGAGGATTGTGGAGATATGAAATCTGATGTTTCCTATGAAAAACAAAACAGTAAATTTGGGGAGATCATCAGCAATCATCAGATATACATCAGCTATACTTTCGGCACTATTGCTGTTGACAAAAGGACTATGAATCGGCAATCCATGGACCATGGACCGAAGGATTTGGTGTCTGGAAGATATCCACCAGTTGGACAAAACTGGGCGCCTGGAAAGTATCACATATAGTATACCCTCCGGTTATTTAACATAGCCATGGGAAATGGCCCATTTATAGATGGTTTACCTATTAAGAATGGTGATTTTCCATGGCTATATGTTAAATAACCAGATGGTAATCTAATTTATCTGCATTATAAAAGTTGCGCTACTAGTTATCATATCAAATAATTACAAAGTTCATGATATTAAAAATGTATTATTACATATTGATTATGGCAAATCTGATCATATCCAAAAAGTAAAGCAAATCTATCATCTATATACTTGAAATCAATTATGAGAAACTAATATTTATATGTTATTTATTGAAGTTACCACACTGGATACTATTTAAATCTATTTAATATCATCAACTTGTATTAGATATTTTATCATACTCTAAGCGGTGGAGCTCTGGGTCCCCTGGGGTCCCCTGGTGGCTTGGCATCTGAGTCTCTATGATTAGTTCATCCGTTCAGTCGCGTTTTCACTCACAATTACACTACACTTTATTAAACATTAAATATGGATTGTCAAATTTACATTTATGTTCTTTTATGTTATATATTATGCGTTAAACATATCTTAGATCATATACGATATAAAATTACATTATAATATCTATATCGTTCTACATTCAGATTCGTAGATCCACCCCGGCAAGAAATGCATTAGTCATCCCGGAAAGTAGCCGCCCATCTCTTTGAGAAGCCATGGTTAACATGTTTTTTTGGGTGGCGGCCGTCGTCCGATACGTCCGCGTCTGCAAGATACGTCTACCAACCTATGGTGCCCTGATGGTTCATAGACTTCTACTGTAGCAGCTGTAGCACTGGCTGTAGAAGCCTTGAGTCCCATGAATCTTGCAGGCCACGTGCAAGTGGATACGGAACAATCAAATAACCAGGAACAACCCAAAAAATGCATGCGGAAACATATATTAGAAAAGGTCACACTGGAATCCAAACGGATTCTCACGAGTATTGTTGTGTTGCTCGATAATCCCCAAAGTTTAAAGTCTCCGTTGGCATGGGACTGCCGCACGTGCAGCATACACTGCATACCACTGTCCAGGTTGTAAGGGCCCTAATCAATGAGTTTTCCCCACAAACTTCGGAGATTGTCACAGCTAAAATTCAGATACTCCCAGTAGCCCCCCGATCTGCTCTGATCCTAGCCACAAGTTTTTCTGCGCACGGTGCACAGCAGATTTTCTCACAAGTTGAGCCAGTTAAAAGAAACTCTGCAGCGACCGCGCAAAGAAATGGGATAGTAGGTACAGAGTGTAAATACCTATACAGGAAGAGCTGACACAAAATCTAGATACCCCCAGCTGACAGTTGGAGCTAAAACCAAGTTATATTCCAGTGGATAGGAAGGGTTCAAGACCGGCCCAACCATCAACCCTTGTGGAATCATTTCAAATTGAAACCATCACTCACGCAAGATATATTTTGGGAAGAACAAGCGGGTCTCTTTTGGTTTCCTTTCCATGGGGAATGCTTCTAAGTCCTTCATGTGAACGGCGTGTAAGAAGCGGGGCTTGTGGGAAAGGAGAGAGCGAGGCCAAGGTCGGGAAAACATCCACCATCATCAAACTATCAGTCAAAAACAAACACACACACATATATATATATATATTTATACATATATATTTATATATACATTGGTATCATATACATATCTAATATTCATATTTTGTCGTATCATATATATAGAATCAAATAGATATATCTATACATATATATATGTATATATATATATATAGATAAATACATTCAGTATACATCAACAACGTAACCCTTCCACCAAGGCCCAACAATTTCTTCAGGTGATCGATGCGACCGTATTTCAACACGAAGCGCGAACATCCTCTGCACACCAGAAACCTGTGCCAAATCATATGCTGTGCATTGCCCATCTTAGATAGGCAAAATTTCATAAATTCTTAGTTGGCTACTAGACATTCCCATTTAATTATATCAATATCCATTTATAACAAAAAAAATGATTGAACTACCCATCCGAGATTAACCTAGTGTGGTACAGGAAACTAAAGAAAAAAACAGTAACAAACCACAACCGGGTATGGTTTTGAAAGCATCACCGAGTCCGCCGACTGGGAACATAATGGAAAAACTGGTCAGGTCTGGCTTACTCTTGGTTAAACCAGTCACCTTGAAAAAAATCCTTGTCCCGCCACGATTCTTAATTAAGCAGAACGCCTTGCCAAACCGGTAATGATTATTGCGCAAACCATCATAGAGGATAAGAATAGCGACGATACCCATCATAGAATCATACTGTAGCGGCCTAAACCATAGTACCTTGACACTCAACCATTGTTTCATTGAATCCTCTTTCCTGTATGTGGACATCACCATTTTTCAAGATGGCTGAAGATGGCTGAACTATCACTCACCACAGCGAAGTCTGAAATGGCACATGTTTGCGACGTGGCTTTCAAATTTTCGGGCCACACGACCACGGCATTTACACCGTATGCACCATCAATAGCAGCATTTCACGTTCCTGAACGAAACCTTCGCAACTATCAAGGAGCACATGTTGCAAGGAACGAATTACAGCTGAGATTGATCGCAACAACTTCGCGATAAGATGTTGCACCATCAAACTTAGGGAAGAAAACATGAAGCAAACAAACAAATTCATGAAGTTTGAAAAGTACCCCTCCTTTTCATCGCATGATAGTGATTGGTACTGTAAATGTTCCCATATTGGGACATTTTGGGACACAATCATTCCCAACAACAAAGTTTAGTGGCTCAAATGGCTCAAATCGAAATTGTTGGTGTGGTCCCCACTGGATGCTGGGCCATGATGGGTAAATGCCAATTTTCAGGTGACGTCGCGGGCCCTCAGGTGATACCTGTGATGCCTGGTGATTCAAACCCGGAAAAACAAATCCCAGAACTGTTGGGTACACCCAAGTATTGACCACAAATGCAGATGAAAGTACTCAACAAGCTTAACCAGAAAATAATCGTACACACTCAGTTTTCTGAAAAAAAAACTTTGGCAAGAGACCCCAAACAGTGCGCTGTTAAGATTCCAAAGGGAAAGGTGGACAGTACCCAAAATCATCAGTGGCTCCAAGCTAGCAGGACAAGAGTGACCCTATAGTAGCCAAAGCATGGTGTTCATTCAAAGGTGGCCTCTGGAAGAAGGGATGCCAGGTTACGGTTAGATTCTGCAAGTTCCCAATGTGAAGATCTCTGTAGAAGATCGTGCGCAATATCTCCTTGACAGGTTCTCTGTAGAAGCTGCTGTGCAGGATCCCTTTGTAAGGCTACCTGCACAAGGTCTCTACAAGAGATCTCCACAGAAGATCTCTGTTCAAGTTCTCTGTAATATATTTCTGAGCAAGATCTTTGTTCTCTTCCACCAGGTCTCCGTACAAGATCTCTAAAAAAAGACTCCTGGCAAGATCCCTGCAAGAGACCTCTTGACAAGATCTTTGAACATGTTTTTTCTTGGCAAGATCTCTGTACAAGCTCCATATAAGGGATCTCTTGGCAAGGTCTCTTTATGAGATCTCTGTACAAGCTTTCTATAAGAGCTCTCTTGGCAAGATCTCTGTAAGGGACCTCTTGGCAAGATCTCAGCACATCTCTATGGAATGCCTCTGTACAAGATCTCTATAAGAGGTCTGTTGGCAAGCTCTCTGTACAAACTCCCTATAAGAGTTCTCTTGCCAAGATCTGTTTCAGAGACCTCTGCACAAGCTCCCTATGCGAGCTCTCCTGGCAAGATCTCAACAAATCTCTATGCAATGCCTCCGTACTAGTTTTTTACAAGAGGTCTCTTGGCAAGATCTCTTGAGGAAATCTCTGCACAAGCTCTCTGTAAGAGCTTTGTTGGCAAGATCGCTGTAAGAGACCTCTTGGCAAAATCTCTGGAAAAAAATCTCTATAAGAGCTCTCTGTACAACATCTTTATAGGAGGTCTCTCTTGCAAGATCTCTGTGCAAGCTCTCTATGGCCGACCTCCTTGCCAAGATCTCTGCCTTGACTATCAAAATGAGCACTGCGCCACAAACCCAAAGTGCCGAAAGGGTTGTGCGAGCGAGCTCAAAAGTCACACCGCACCACAACGAGAGCGACCAAAGTGATACGAGCGTTGCGCGAGAACACGTTTGATTTTCACAAAACATTGCGCGCACCCTGACAAACGAACAATATTGAACACATGTCAAAAACGACGTTCTACCTAGGTCTCAGCCATTTTTTTGAGAGGTCTACAAAGTACCACGTCTGCAAATAAAATGAGCCCGAGGCATCCGAAGTGGTGCACCTGCCACACGGAATCATCATCATGTCCAAAATGACGACAGTTTCACAAAACGAGACTTTCAAATACTTTCAACCCTTTCAAAACGTCGTTCAAGTTCATCAAGTACTGCGCCTGCCACGAAACATGACCCCCAAAGCCACCTCTCATTTTGACGTGCAAAAAGTGCCACAACTGCCACGCGGATGAAAAAGTGTCCGATGTCATGCACCTGTCCCGCAAAACGACGTGTTAGACTGCCACATGTCCCGAAAGTGTAGTTCAAAAAACGAGCACGGCGCGCTAGTAAAACGAGACCTTCAGAAGAGAAGTCTCCGCGACATCAGGTTTGTGCGAGCCTGCGCATTCGAAATGCACATGGACATCTCACAAGGGAACTTTTCAGCTGTAAAGGCAAAAACGGCGCACACGTATGAGACCACCTCGAATGAACACCGGACCAAGCCTATAATTAACTATCTATAACTCTTACCGTAAGAACCCCAAGTGTGGCCACACTGTTATACACTGTCTGGGGGAATAATCTGGGGTGTAAGATTGACTCCAACTCGCCATTTTCGGCTGGCAATCTCAGCCACGGGGTGGGTACCCCCGCATGAAACAATGGGAAGCTTCATCAAGCCTCACCAGGCGGTCGCCAGGCATTTGTGCCGCATAAGAGACCAACTGCGTAACATTGTAGATGTTTTTTTTGGGTGTTATTAAACAAAAAAAACCGTCCATAGTAATACAAGCCAATTTGCGGGTAAATCGCTTTTCAAGGGGAAAATCAGATCAAAAAAAAGCGCTGAATTTGCCAGTGCCAAGTGGGATTTCTGAGGGTTGAGGGCTGATTTTGAGCAAGCTGAAGTCCATCCCCAACATCAGAACATTGTTAGGGGCTCGCTCATAAGTACAATGAACAATACATCATACCTAGCTTTTATAAGATTGGTTGTGTATATATATATATATATTTTAAAAAAACATATGATATAAAATAATGGTATATGATATATATATATATATACACATACATACACTGTTTAATATGTTTTATCACTAATGAAATTGGGCCAGCCACAGTTGGTCCACCTCGTTTCAAACCAACAACACCCAAGAACATCACTTGGTCATGGCTGCAGATACAGAACATACATGAAGATACATGGTTTATGGCGGGCATACCGATGGTTATGGGCTATGAAGGGCCTCACCTTGACTACCAAAAACTACAGCGACCCGAAAAGCAACTCTTTCTCACGGCTTGTGCAATCCAGAGTTTGCGTGATATACATCATTAATTCATTAGTTCACCATTATACTATACGAGTACATCTAGATATTTCTGATGGAGGTACCCAGCCTCAGCTTTTTCTCAATACTTACGGCTTGTTGTCTATGAGTTAGGTAAACGGATATGTGTCAATTGCGCTGTTGGGCCATTGGAGTTCACCCTTCCATCTGTAGCGGCAGCAAATCCCTGCACACCACTGCGAACAAAGACCTGCAGACGCCGCCGGAGTTGGCGGTGGCACGTGGTAGTGAACTGGCTTACTCTCCGGCAATCAACCATGCTGCAAAAGACCAGCAGCAATAGTTCGAAGATTTCCTAGCGGCCCGCCATGTTTGATGACACCGGAGATAATCAGATTATTCTCAAGTGTGTAGGTATATACACGTGCTATACATGGGCGATCCACGACACGTTGTGTACATAATGTAGCAACACAACGTACCAATCCTGAGGGCCTCCCATCTGGATTTCTTCGAAAATCCGAAATAAAGACAATTTGAATTGTGCCCCCCCTCTCTCTATGATAGCTTTCTTTGATTTACGGTGACGTTGAAAGGTCACAACGAAAGTGAGTCAGCCCTCGGTGGATCACCGTGAAATTGCCGGGTGCCCCCCAAAAAATCCGATGGTTACTATTGTAATCATGTTCCCTCTCAATTTGTGAACCAGCCGAAAATCACCGAGTCCTATAGATGTTCATTTCAATTCATAGCCAATTTTCAATGAAACCTGACTGTTGGATACCGTCTGGTTGTACCTGCCATCAAAAAACAATGAACTGCATGATGTTATACTACTATACAATCATGTTTACTGGTTAAAACATGTTTAGCGCAATACACGCCAGTCCCTGTAGCAAATTCGTTGGCCAACACCAAGCAACATCCAGCAAAGAAGCGATCTCTCACCTAGGACCTGGAAATCAAGAATCTACAAGAATCTACCTATCCATCAAATTCTTCTGCTTGTTGTTGCAGTTGTTTACCCTTTTTGTCTGAGTTTTTTTCCCGGGTGTTGTGGTAGAGTCGTAGTCTTCTTTGCTGTGCACCGTTTGCTCATGTTGTGTATTTCTTCTTGTGCTGGGCACAGGAAGTAATGTATTGTCAATACGGGCCTCGCTCTGCCTGCGTAATGGTTGCCTTCAAAATTTGCAGCTGACGGAGAGGTCACACTGACCCTGCTGGTAAAGTTGACGCAGTGGAGCCTCTCAACCATTAATACTGGCAAATGCCAAACATATACACCAAATCCCACATCACACATACCAACAGGGGATCTTTCCATTCAAATGCAACTTGAAGACTTAAACACAGCTGGCCTCCCAACAGAATACCCAGATTTCAAATTCTCAAGCTTCAACAAAGTGAAGCCGGATGTCCGAATGACTCGAACGAGGCACTCTGCAAAAGGATATATACCCTCCTGTAAACAAACATGGTAAAGGAAAATCTCTTATGAATGGAGATAATGGGAAAATCATGTATAAATTATGGTGGATTTTTGTTGGCCATGTTTGATGTCCAGAGGGTAATGATAATGTGTTCTTCGTTCGTGATTCAACCAAGAGTGCCGTTTTTGGGTTTCAGGGGAAGCCTGACCACATTAATTCCGCGTTGAAACAGCAAGGCCACGGTTTCAAATTCAAACTGCACAAACAATCTGCAACCAACAAAACGTTTTCCCATCATGTTCAATTTTTCCGCACAGAAAACACACAAACACAAAAAGAAACCCAAACACGTGGCCTCACAAGAAAAAAATTCGATCCCCAACTGCCGCCCCGGCCGGAAGAATGCATGGTTCTTGCTGTTTGGTTTCTGTGGGGCAGTCTTTGTGCTTGGCCGCTTCCGTTTGGCCCACCATGGGCTCTGCTGGCAGATGCGGTTCCAACTGCAGCACCAGCTTCGTGCCCAGCGTTTTGGTCATGCCCACCGAGTGGGGAAATGCGACAGGATGGCCCATGGAATAGGCGCGGGGTGCGCCTGGGAGGAGCCCTGTGAAGCTTTGAAGGTGACGCCCCCTGTTTGGGCTTGGAGCTTACCACGACCAACCACTAAGGGATCATTGATCGTTCGGTAGAAAGGGCATCTTTTGGAAGATGGATTAAATCAGGTTAAAATCCCCTTGAAAGCGGTGGAAGAAGCATGAAACACATGTAAACAATATATAATATACTGTTACTTCTACTGTTCCGGAGACCAACTCATTATCTGCTTCCCTTTGGTAATCCCAGCCGGCTCTGGCAAATCCATCAGTTCAAAAAAAAAAAATATATATATAATATAATATAATTGTATATAATTGTTCTATTCAAAAACAGTGCTTTTCCATTGACAGCTTTGAGCTGTCAGAGGGTGCATGTCATGGTGTAGTGTAGTGACTACAGTGCGTTTTTTCCAAGGAAACAAAACAAAGATAAACAAAGCAAATCCAAAACAGGTTGCATCCATAGATTCCAAATTGATTTCTCAATACCCAGATCTCATGGTCCGTTGATGTCCGTTGCACCCAGCCCGATTCCTCCTGGGTGGGCCGCCTGGACGCAACAGCGATTCATAGCCAAACTTGGCGAGAAAAACGCCGAGATTCTCAGCCTGGCCTGAAGCAATGGGTCAAATATACCTAGGCCCTCCAAGTTCACCCATCTATTTTAATATGTTTTAGTACTTGGACCCATTCTTATGGCTGCATGGAGGGCCTAGGTGTTGTTTTTACATATTTTTAATACGTTTATGAATGATTTGATACTAAAATGGAGCATACTACATGCCAAGGTGAAGAGAATAAATTCATCAATAATGTCATGTGCTGCACATTAAACTGGTAGTCAACAGGGTTGTATTTCCTGAAAAATTACCTTTTTGAAGACTAACTACTATTTTGCCACCAAGTCGATTGATGTTTGTTGATTCAGCAATGTTGATCAATCCGGATTGCCAAAAGGGTTGTGACAGCCCCCCAAATTTTGGACAGTATACCATACAAGTAACCCATTACAACCCCAGAATCAATCCAGTGGTGGGGTTTGAACACTGCTCAATTAAGCTGCTACCACCAGGTTTGGTATTGTGCTGTGAATTCCGAGCGAATGTGCGCTGATGGAGCGGTGCCAAGTGGTCCAGCGTTGTCACAGAGGCCATGGGGTAGACCCAATGCCATTTTTACCCATCCCCAATGGCTCAATGTCACCAGAAATGGGTTCCATGAATTTAATCTACACACATGGGAGTACAGGGGCCTATTGGGGCTGGCCAGCTTGACCAGGCAGTGACCCCACCGTGCTGCACGACGCAAAGGCAGGGGCAAATCAGTCACCAATCCTTGCACGTGTGTATACTGCAACATGTTGACCACGCCAGGCCAGTGTTTTTGTCCGTCTAGATCATGGTGAAACTGTTGAGAAGTCACAACCGCATGGGTTTGCCTGAAAGAAAACATTTTAACTATGAAACCCAAATGAAAAACCAATAAATTTTGGAACGTGTTTTTCCCGAATGGGTAGCGAAGGGTTCTTGTTTTCCTTCGGGGTCTGGGGTGGAGACGTGTTCGCTCGACGTTGGTTTTGTATTTGCAACCGTCGGCCGCACGAGCGTGTGAATGCCCTGTGGCCGTGTTTTTAGGAACCGCTGCAAAAGCAGAACGTTTTCTACCGTCGCTTCGTGTGGCACGCGTGGCACTTTGTGATATTCCAACATGTTGCATAATTAATGTGTTGAAAGTCGTTTTGTGTGACAAACAGAATACTTTGCGAGGTTGTCTGGAGATGACTCTGATTTTTCGTGGCCGGCGCAGCTCGTGTTCCGTGCTTTCATTGTCAAGCCTGCGTCAAGTGGCGGCAACGTGCAAATTCCGTGGCAGACGTGGCATTTTGTGAGATGTGATGAAATTGACAGAAACCTCGCACGAGACAAAGATTTTCAGGTATAACTAGTTTTGAGGTTCATGAGAAAGACTCGTAGGAAAACGTCGATGTTGCTTCTGTTGTAGCTACAGACTCTGAAAATTTGAGGAAGCTTCGCACAAAATGCTTGTTTTGAAGCTCCAACATGTGTCGTCTCGATTTTCTGATTTTCATGTGGCGTCGCCCCATGGGGGAAGCTGCAAAACCTTTCATCTTCGAAGGTTTCAAAACTGTGTTTAATATTGTTTAATGTGGTTTTGCGTGACAAGCGTGGCGCTTCCTGATATTCTCGTGTCTGAAAAAGTGTCGACTTAAAATCGTTTTGTGTGACAGGCACAATACTTTAATTTGCGCCTCGTTTCCAGAAAATGATTTGCATTTTTCGTGGCAGTCCCAGCACTTTGGATGTGTCCATCTTCATTTGTGTGGCAGGCGCAGCACTTCAGACATGCCGTGCGATGTGTTTTTGCAAATCGCATTGTCAGGCTGCGAGAAGTGCAATGGTGACAGCGGCGCAAATTGCGTGGCGTGGGACATTGTGAGACTCTCATTTTGCCCGGCACGCGCAGCATTTGGTGGTTCGCAGTCTAGAGTGCACAGTGTGAAGTGTGAAGTGTAGAGTGTAGATTGCAGGGTGCGGAGTCTAAAGTGTAAAGTGCAGAGCGCGGCGTGCAACTCGTGGAGTGTGGAGTGTGAAGCGCGAAGTGTGGAGTGTAAAGTGTGGAGTGTGGAGTGCAGAGTGTGGAGTGAAAGGTGTGGAGTATAAAGTGTAGTGTGTAGAGTCTACACTGTGGGCTGTGATGTGTGGAGTGTAGACTGTGGAGTGTAGAGTGTGGAGTGTAGAGTCTGGAGTCTGGAGTGTAATGTATCATGTGTAGAGTGCGGAGTGTCAAGTGAAAGGTGTCGAATGCAGAAAAAAGTGCGTGACGCAAGCTGCTCTGAGATGATTTTCTTGTGACCTTCCAAGATCCCTTTTCCTTATATACGGTTCCTTTGCGTGATCTGCATTCGGGTTCGTTGGTGAGCCTTAAACTATAAAATTACAAGTAAACAAATATAAAACAAAAAAAATATATATATATATATATATATGTATATATATATATATATGTGTGTGTGTGTGTATGTATGTATGTATGTCTGTCTGTATGTCTGTCTGTCCGTCCGTCTGTCTGTCTGTCTGTATGTGTGTGTATGTATGTATGTATGTCTGTATGTCTGTATGTCTGTATGTCTGTATGTCTGTATGTCTGTATGTCTGTATGTCTGTATGTCTGTATGTCTGTATGTCTGTATGTCTGTATGTACGTATGTACGTATGTACGTATGTACGTATGTACGTATGTACGTATGTACGTATGTACGTATGTACGTATGTACGTATGTACGTATGTACGTATGTACGTATGTACGTATGTACGTATGTATGTATGTATGTATGTATGTATGTAATGTCCACATGGCGTTAATAAACCACCCCACAATAAAGTACGCCAACTCCCGGGAAAAATTAATAACCACCCCCCGTAATAAAGTACGCCAACTTGTTTTTCCCGTTTTTTTCCGTTTTTTTCCCTTTAGTATTCGTTTTCAATCAGGCCATTCATTTGTGAATACTAAAGTTTTTTTCCGTTTTTTTTTTTCCCTGTATGTATTCGTTTTCAATTAGGCAATTCATTTGTGAATACTAAAGTTTTTTTTCCGTTGGTTTTCCCTTCGTTTTCAATTAGGCAATTCATTTGTGAATACTAATTTTTTTTGTTCCGTTTTTTTCCCTCAAATGGTCGATTTCTTTACTAAACCCTCTCGAAAAATGCAAAAAACAATCGTGCAAAGGGGGTGGCTCTGGAGACCCCTGACATCAAAATAATAATGTATGTTTACACACCCCTAAATAAAGTATTTGGATTTCAGGGGTCTAATCAAATTTTTGGTGGTTGAACTTGTTTCTCAATTCCTTTCCTCTTTGAACCCTCTCTCAAACCCCTTCTGACACTCCGTACACTCCAAACTCCAAAATCTTGCCTGAAAAGTTCTGGAGTTGAAAAAAAACAACAAGGCTCAAATGGTCGATTTCCTTACTAAACCCTCTCGAAAAATGCAAAAAAACAATCGTGCAAAGGGGGTGGCCCTGGAGACCCCTGACATCAAAATAATCAAAGGAAGTTTAGGGGGAGAAACTTCCGTGTTACGGACTTTTAGAATGTCAGGGAAAGAGTTAGTCAAAGAAAGAGTTAGCAAAGAAAGAGTTCGTCAGGGAAAGAGTTAGTCAAAGAAAGAGTTAGTGAGGGAAAGAGTTAGTCGTCAAAGAAAGAGTTAGTGAGGGAAAGAGTTAGTCAAAGAAAGAGTTAGCAAAGAAACAGTTAGTCAGGGAAAGAGTTAGTCAAAGAAAGAGTTAGTGAGGGAAAGAGTTAGTCAAAGAAAGAGTTAGTGAGTTAGGAAAGAGTGAGTCAGAGTTAGAAAGAGTTAGTGAGGTCAACGAAAGAGTTAGTCAAAGAAAGAGTTAGTCAGGATATATGAGGTAGTCAAAGAAAGAGTTAGCAACGAAACAAGTTAGTCAAAGAAAGAGTTAGTGAGGGAAAGAGTTAGTCAAAGAAAGAGTTAGCAAAGAAACAGTTAGTCAGGGAAAGAGTTAGTTAAAGAAAGAGTTAGTCAAAGAAACAGTTAGTCACAGAAAGAGTTAGCAAAGAAAGAGTTCGTCAGGGAAAGAGTGAGTCAAAGAAGGAGTTAGTCAAAGAAACAGTTAGTCAGGGAAAGAGTTAGTCAAAGAAAGAGTTAGTGAGGGAAAGAGTTAGTCAAAGAAAGAGTTAGTGAGGGAAAGAGTCAGTCAAAGAAAGAGTTAGTGAGGGAAAGAGTTAGTCAAAGAAAGAGTTAGTCAGGATTTATGAGGTAGTCAAAGAAAGAGTTAGCAAAGAAACAGTTAGTCAGGGAAAGAGTTAGTCAAAGAAAGAGTTAGTGAGGGAAAGAGTTAGTCACAGAAAGAGTTAGCAAAGAAATTGTTCCCTCACTGTAAATGGGATTGCAAGTGGTGCTGGTGGAGGAGTTGCCGATGGAGTTTTGGAGGAAGTCTCGCACGAAATGCGTTTTGGAGAGATAGCAGATGCACGAAAGCCTATGTTTTTCCATACAAAGTCCGTCCCCGAACCTCGATGATCTACCTCTGCGGTGCGACGGGTGCGAGACGGTCTCGTGTGTGGTCGGAACGGTCTCGGATCATGTTCGGATCGGTTCCGCATTGTAAATGGGGTTTCAACTGTTTTTCGTGCATTTGCGGTCGACAGAATTCCATTGTGATTTGCAACTGTAGGATCGTTCCCGCAATGTAAATGGGATTGCAAGTGGTGCTGGTGGATGAGTCGCCGATGGAGTTTTGAAGGAAGTCTCGCACGAAATGCGTTTTTGGCGCTAGTGATTTTCCTTCTAAAAATCCTTTTAAAAAGTGCTTCAAAATCGTCTTGTTTTCGCTCTGGCGTCGAGATCCGGTTTTGGAGCTACAATTTCTGACGCCGTTGCGCGTAGTTCTATTGTGCTTTGCAACTCAGTCTCTGCAGATCGCATTGTAATGGCTGCGTCAAGGTTGCTTCGTGCTGTGGCTGCATTCGTAATACTATTGTCTTTTGCAGCTGGATCTCGTACATCGTCTTGGAGTGGCTGCATGAAGGCTGCGACATGGATTTGTTAGCAGATTTTCTCCATTT